GAGCTGCCAGCAGCAGTTCTTCTCTGTCTTCCTCGCCCTTCCTCTAGCCTCTCCCTGCTCCCCTACCCCAGGATCACCTCTCCCTTTTCCCAATCCTCCCCTCTCCCTATTCCTTTCCCAGTCTCACAACCCGGTTTTCTTCAGAGCATCTGTGTGTATCTAAACCCAGGCACTCACCCTCCTAAAAGGCCTACACAGCACAGTTTTTCCAAGGGGTGCCTGTGTTGGGGTCACTGAAGCAGGCCCACCAGGGATGGGGGAAGGTCAAAAGTTAGAGACGGAGACTGTGAATGGGTCAGAGATCCAATTGGCCACTGGGACCTAGAGCCACTCACTTCACATCTCTGCACCTCAGATTCTTTTTTTTTTTTTAGGTCAAGGTGAATTTATCGTCCAAATAGCATAACCTAACTGCATCCAAAACCATCTCAAATCCACCTTTAAGCTAGTCAGGAAAACAGGTTATTATTTTTAAAAATCACTTAACACTGAACAGACAGGACCTCTTAAAAGGCAGCTGACTATACCATGTCACCGTCATGACCAGTACAATGTTTTTCTCATACTTCCTAAAAAGCTGCTGTGAATACTGATCATACTACTTTAGCATATACTCAAATGCTGGCCAAATAAACACCCACACCCACCTCTTACAGAGTACATGGTGAGAGAATAACATTGACTTGATATGGCATAACACTCGTTTTAAAGCAAAAAAAAAAAAAAAAAAAAATTTAAATAATAATAAAAGAAAGCCCAAGATGAGAAACTGTAACAGAGGGAGGGATTTGAGTGCACCTCAGATTCTCCATCTATACAGTGAAGACAAACTAAAAGTGCTGAGGCCACTTCCAGTTTCCACATTCTACGGTTTTAGGTAACTGTCTAGCAAAACCAAAGAGTTATAATTGAGGGACAACTAACTCTCAGTTGTGCTAACATCTTCTGGTTTCAGGTTTAAAGAACCTTAATTACTTGGTCGCCACACTATTTTTTTTTTTAATTTTCTTTTATTTATTTTTTTATACAGCAGGTTCTTATTAGTCATCCATTTTATACCCATGAGTGTATACATGTCAATCCCAATCTCCCAATTCATCACACCACCACCTCCACCCGCCTCCACTTTTCCCCCTCGGTGTCCATACGTTTGTTCTCTAGATCTGTGTCTCTATTTCTGCCCTGCCACACTATTTCTTAACACCCCACCTTGCAAAAAAACATTCCCAATTTGAGGAAAGCTTTGCTGCTTCTCCTGCCTTTGGTCCAGCCCCTTAGAGAGCTTGACCTTCTATGAACAGGTATGAATGGAGCAGAGCTGTCTTCTTCACAAGAGTACTATCGAGAAAACAACGAGGGCTTTTTGTGGAGGAGGGGGAGCTGCTTCTGAATTCCTGTCTTCTTCAAGGAGCAAACAAAAACGAGGCTCTGAGTCAGAGATTAAACACCACAACGTCACTATTTCCATTTTCAGGGCTTTCAGTGTCTCCACCCAAACACAAAATGGTTCCCAGAAACTGGCACAAAGGGGGGAAAAACTGTGACAGGATATCAAATTCTGCTTACCTTTGACTTAATTTTGCTCAATTCCCTAGTAAGTAAAACCCAGATAGTAGAGGGAAAAAAGCCATCTGCCAAAAACTGTGTCCTGGGATACAGAGTGATGTGAGTGCCAACTCCTGCATACACTGTCCTGGCTTGGTTTGCTTGCTTTTGTCAATTCCCTGATTCTCTGGAAAAACACTATCCCCAAAGCCATGAAAGCATCTAAGTAGGATAAATAGTGGTAAAGGGTTCCTGCCCATGAAAAACAGCTCTCCGTTGTCAGACATCTCCTCTTAAAATGATCTTAATAAGCTATTTTAAATGAAGGGGAAGGAAAAAGCATAGCACTAACACATGGTAATTATCTGTAATTCTCCATTTGTAGTGTCACTGAAGAGAGAAAAGAATGCAAACGTGGACAGATGCTGACTAGAGCTCTACAATGACATCGAAATTACGGTATTTTGTACAGTGAAGAGAACAACTAAGCTGCAGTATTTCAAAAAGGCAGGTTTTCATTCCAAGGACAATACACACCATGGACTGTGGGGAACTGTGATGAGATGAAATGTCCACGAAGTACGACCCCTGGGAACAGGCAGGGGTTAGAGGTACTTAGCTTTGTGTCCAAACAGCTGATGGGTGTGGCAGAGACTTGTTTAGCTGCGAATATTTAATGTAAGATTCAGTGAGTCTGCGTCAGCTTTAAAGTGAGAGGAAGAGAAATAGACTCCCCAGCTTCCGAGACAGATTTTGGGGCAACTTAAAAGAACTCTAATCTTAGCACTCTAGAAGTTATCTAAGGTCAAACATCCTTATTTTACAGATGATCAAAAGAAAACTCAAGAGGAGGTCTCACAGCTGTTAGCCAAGCCCCAGGTGTGGTAGAGGAGAAAAGAAGGGGTGGGAGGTCATGGAAGAACCACTGCTCTGTATCGTACTGGTAATCTCATCTTCACTCTTGACCAGAAATCAGCATTTCCCTAACTTTCTTCATTCATTTCTGCATCAATAAGTGATCCTTGAGCACTTACCACGTGCCACGGAACTGTGTGTGCTAAATGCTGGGGTTTCTCTAATAATTAAGATACACCGAGTATAGTGAGAACAATTTTATCTAATGTCTCTGCAATAATACAACTTATTAGCATGTTTTAAAAATCCCATGCCTCTTCACTCCAGACTTCGCGCATCTGTGGGCGATCTCCTGCAAGTCTGTGCGCATACATGAAGGAATGGGTCTGTACTCAGAGCATTAAGCAGCACCAATTGAGCCAGTGGCAACAACAAAAAAGGACAATCTTGGGCTGAGAGCTGAAGATGGACTGGGAAGAAAGATGGGAGACCAGGTTACCAATGGATAACAAAAAAAAAGGGGGAAATGACCAAGATCCTGGGTAAGGTACCTTCTGGGATGGCCGCACGCAGTCCTAGGTCAAGGATCAGAGCAGCCCTGCCTACAGCAACAGCCTGAGGGAGAAATACAAGTGACCTTTGCAGGTGGATCACTGCAAAGCTTAGGTTAGGTGTGCCCTAGGTTGACAATTACCAGCACTTGGAACAACTTGCTTTAGTTTTAACAAAGGATGAAACAACTGGAACTGGAAAAGAGGTGAATCAACTGATCTTTAACTCTAGTTCTCTTGAAAGTTACCCGGATTAAAAAGAGAGCATCTCCAATCTATTCTGGAGAAAATAAGTTGGGAAATAAAAGCCGAACGTAATTACATCAGTGATTTTTAACGGATATAACTTTTTTGGGGGGATTGACATTTAAGAATTCCATTGAGGGACTCCCCTGGTGGTCCAGCAGTAAAGAATCCGCCTTACAACGCAGGGGATGTGGGTTCGATCCCTGGTCAGGGAACTAAGATCCCACATGCCGCGGGGCAACTAAGCCCACGTGTCACAACTACACAGCCCATGCGCCCTGGAGCCTGTGCGCCACAACTAGAAAAGAGAAGCTCGTGCACCCTGCGTGCCACAACTAAGACCCAACACAGCCCAAAATAAATAAAAATAATAATAAATAAATCTTAAAAAAAAATTCCAGTGAAATCATATTACACACTGACCTAAGCCAATTTAGCACTTCAGAAAATGGCCAGTTCTTTTGATAAATATAAGGAACTTCCAGTACGTAGAGGTTACTGAGAGCTTATGTGTTCCCATTCCCAAAAAGGCTATTCGTCTCAGTCCAAATTCTGCCAACATACATAAGCAAGCAGGCACAAAAACAGACAATCTGATCTGTCCTTTTCGAGAAGAAACTTCTCTTTTTGAAGTCAGGCACTCAGACAAGAACCATGCAGTTCACTCTGAGGTAGATACAACATTCTCAGGACAGGACAAGCACACCTGAGTGTCAGGTGGAGAACAGAGCCCTGCAGGCAGTGAGGACCCTCAGGCCCACCGCCCTGCCGGCCCAGCAGGTTTCCACCCCACATTCACCAGGCATGCTGGGGCTTTTACCTTTCACTCTATCAGTGAAAAATGTTTTTCAGCATCCTTAAAGTAAAGAAAACCACTTGGACGATACCTGAAGTGTTGGGGCAACCAACTTTCAAGAATGTATTCCTAACGAAGGTGCTTCCGATGTTAAACACTCCAAGAGAATGAAAGTTAATACGCGTGTACATCATGGCACTGTGTACACTTCCATCTTCCTAAAGTGCTTTACCATACAGACAATTTGATTGTTTCTACAAAAGGACACTTTCAATCTTTAAGAAAAATCATGTACTGCTATTTTACCGGGCAAATTTCCTCTTATAAACTTAAATTATTGAGGGCTACTAAATCAAATTAAACTTGTGGAAATCCTGCAAATTTGGTTTCGCTCATCATTCATTCTTCTCCTTCTCTATTAGATAAAATGCCTATTAAACCAACTGCTTAATCATGCTAAGTTACTGTTTATATTTTTAGGACACCACCGTCAAAACCTAAGATTTATTCCTAAGTTCTTCACCAAAATGAACATATTTTTCTTGTGTTACTAACTTGTGTATTTAAGTATTATGCTAGAATTTCACTCTGTTTTAGACTTTCACACAGTCAAATTATGTTAACGATATTAAAATCATGATTTTAAATGACATTTTAAAAAAGAATCATGGTGTTCTCTAAGGCTTTGCCATTGTAAATCATTTTGATAATAATAGGAAAACTGCTATTTATTTATATAAAACCACATTATGTTCAACCCTAACCACAACTTTATATTCCCATTTAAGAGATGGGAACACTTGAGCTCAGAAGAGTTATTAAGTGAATTGGCCCAAATTACAAGATGAAAAAGGACACAAGATTCAAAGCCAGGTCTTCCTGGCTCCAAATCCTAAACTCTTTCCTTTATGATTTGTTACTGCACCCAAGCCTCTGAACAAGTTAACTAAACTATGCACCTCAAAATAACAAAATCACACAAATATGCCACATATCCTATTTCATACCTTTAATCCTCTGAAACTTCCTGGGCTAGTTGGAGAGGAACTGGAGGATTTCGTAGATTTAGGAGTGGAAAGCTGGCTGCTGGGAGTTCCATTAACTGATCACGAGACAACAAAGGAGACAGAGATCATTAAAACCCAGAACCACCAGACTGTGTAAAAACACTAAGCATATGCCCAGTATAGCTCCAATGGAGCTTCGATTCATTCAAAGCTCAAAGCAGACGGTAAATCAGCAAAAAGCAAAAATAATGTGTCTTACTGCATTACAGACAAAGTATCAGACAAATAAGCAGTGAAACTAGAATTATTTTCAATAATAGTTTTCCAACAGTGACATAAACAAATATATAAAACGTTATGGAGTTAGAGATGTGAGCAACAACTTGTCCATATATCCTGCCTACCATCAAGGGTAGAGAAATGCATGGCTGTTATATTTGTAATGGTCTACTCTGAAGGTTGTCCTATAACTACTCCAATATCCAGTGTCTTAGTATACACCAACCTGAATAACCAAGACATTCTTGTGGCTCTCCCAAATCAATTCCACCATGATTCTAACACATTTTCTAAGTATATCCTTAATGGAAAAAGAAAATTACTGGTCATTTTCCTTGTAATACCTACTTATTTGTTTGAAAGCCAATTTCTTATTATCTAGACTAGTTATTTCTAATTCCTTCCATTTTCTTGTCTTCTCAACTTAATTTACCCATTATTTAGCAAGTCTTGGTGGTTTTTTGTACACCCTCCTCCAAACTTCCATACACTTCCTACGTTAAAAGCTCAATTTAGAGACTCGGTAGGGAAGAGTATGGGCACGGCTGTTTCAAGGGGAGGGTTAGTTTGCAGATTTTATACTATACAATGCTAGCCACACATCTCAGTATTACTCAGGCTTATTCCTAATTATACGAATGGGATCCACTTCGGCTGTAATTTCACAAAACTATTAGTTAACATCTGGTATTGGTGTATATATAAATAATAAAAAACAGAGAACTGAAAGTCCCTTAATAAACTTTTATTCCAGTTTTTCACTCAGATGAAAATCTCCATAACAACAGCAACAGCAACGTCTTTTCTGTCAGTTCTATGCTAACTGCTATGCATACAGTAGAACTTTTTTTAAATTAATTTTTAGTGGAGTATAGTTGCTTTACAATGTGTTAGTTTCTGCTGTACAGTAAAGTGAATCAGAAATATATCTATATATCTATATATATATATATATATATATATATATATATATATATATTCCTCTTCTAAGGAGTGCTTTAACCCCTTTTATCATTAATCTTCAATGCTTCTGCCCCAAGCAGATGAAAACTGGCATTCGTCTCTATGGAAAGAAAAGCAAAGTCCATTTCCTTTTTAAAAACTCTTTTTAATACAAGGGAGGAGACAACTGTTATTTTAAATGATGCTAATAAATATAAAAAGCAAAATGAAGAAATAAAGGTCCTGAATAGGTGACTCAAAAAAGTAAGCACCAGTCCTTGAATGGAGGCCGAATTCTGGATCTGTAAGTATGTGTGATTAGATGAATCAGTCATGTATGTTTATTGTATTGCTCCTTGTAAAAATTCAGCAAAGATGAAAAATTTTTTCAGTTATTTTTAAATTACCAAACTTGAATTTTTCTAGTTTAAAACCACTCATTCATAAATCATTATCAGTTATCTAGATTTTCTTAACAAATGTATGTGGGTATTTAGAGCACAAGTACAACACAAGTAACTGTACAATTAATTAGAAACTTTTAAGAGTATTCAACAGCCCTGATTATTTTTCAGTAAAGTTACACTTCAATTAATGCTCTTTCTTTTAAAAATTCTCTTTAAAGGGAACTGGTGGTAGGAATTCATGTAAAATAGAGATTACTATGAGAAGTGAACTAGTAAGCTTGCTGTGAGCTGATACTGAGTTTGGCTCCATTTCTCCTTCATTCCACACAGCAACCTGTTCAGGTCACCAGTTCCTACTCACCAAAGGCTGTTACCTTTCACTGATATTCAGAAACCACTTTGATATCAAAGATTTCCTTGGAACAGTGACAGAAAAGGGACTAAAGAAGAAAAATTGGTTCCTGCAAATGGTAAGCCCTGTGGCAGACCAATTTCCCTAAAAACACACCTCCTGCCTAAACATAATTTCTTAACAAAACTCACTGCCAGGGATTGAACTGGTATCAGTAACTACCTGTCCACAGTTACCCTCAAATAACTCCCATCCTAAAGAGACACTAAGCCATATATAGCCCTCTAAGTTTCTGATAGCATTTGAAAGGTTATAAAAAATTGTTGTCTAGTGAGAAGTTCTTAACTCCATTTATTTGCACATCTCTCCAGTCTCTGGGAGGGTAAGTGGGGCCTGGGACACAGCCACACTGTGCTCTCTCCCCCGACACTGCTGCTACCAACAGGAAGGTGGACGGACAGTGCCCAGCATCTCTGCAATGCTCCCCTCCTTCACTACACCCTGAATTTTCTCTCCCAAAATAAGGCTCTTATCCATCCTTCCCCTCAACTGTAAGGTAAGAAACAAACTTGGGGGCTTTCTTGTTTGTTTGCTCTGAACATTTTTTATCCTGGTGGACTACGACAGATTCACAAGCTAGAAATCTGAAGTGAGAATTTTTAAGATGCAAATTGTGGTAACTATTTACCCACTTGTATCACCCAGATTAATTTCTATGTGTTTATTACATATCATTTAGCTATTTAGATAAATTTAGAGTTTTGTTGAGGAATTTTGTCAGCCAGAAGACTTCATTGATGGGAGCACTTCTGTCCCAAGAGTGAAAAAGTACAATAAGACATTTACAAAGTTACTTGCTCTGTTTGAAATTCCAGTGAGTCCCATGGAATGTTCTAAATGGTAACAGGCATACTACAGCTAAAGCAGTCCGTAAAAGCGAGTTATACTTCTGTGTGTTGTGGCATTTTATAATACAAAACTCTCTCTCCATTTTCTATAACTGCAGTGTGTGCTGAACATGCTTTTGAGTTAATCTCTTATAAAGAAGCCATTTGCCCTCTGAAACGCGATTTACATCTCACAACTTTTACTTATAAGTTAAGATAAACTTTATTAACCCAAACCCAAATATGGACTCAGTTGAAAATCTGGAGTACTGGAATCCTAAGACTTTCTCAAATCAATTTCTAAGCATTCCAAATTCTAGTTAAAAAGATTTATATACTTATTAGACTATGTTATGAAGCAGTTGGTCTACAAGACAAGTATGGCTATGAAACATGCTTTTAGTTCAATATGTTAATTTCCCTCTTTAGACCTCAGGCAGACAAAATTAGATTAATTTTAATACCTGATCCTTGAACCACTCTCCCCACTTTTATTTATATTACTTACGTGATAAGCATCTGTAAACCTATCACCAAAACAAAAGCTAAGAACCTGACACAAGTCTAATTTACCACGTGGTAAACTCAGTGAAGTGTATTTACGCAAATTTCATGTTATATTAGCTTTCCCTGCATGTGAGATACTTTACAGAAAGCACAATATCATTTGAAATAAGCTTAACATCAGAGAGATGCATTCAGTTAAAAATATTCATATCGCTGATATTTTAGAGAGAGGATGTTGGGCCTATTAACCCCAAGGTGGGGAGGAAGGAGAGGAGAGTATAATTGCTTCTATGGCCATTTTCATATTACCAACAACCCTTAGCCTTTTTCAATAACAGGCTATTCTCCCAAATTAACTAGAAGACACACCCCTTGAAGCGCTGTGTCTCCTCCATCACTGTGTACCGTGACTACACACAGACAGGCACCTGGCAACCTTCTGAGGATGACTGGCTCTCTAACAAGGGAGGCTGAAGCATTGTGAAGCGCCTGATAACTGCACAGATGTCCACTGGTAAAAGCCAGATGCATTCATGGAAATGGAGCAAAAGGAAACAGAAATATGGCAAAAGACGAAAACAAAAACCTAGCAGAGCGACAAAGCCATAATAATCATGGCTCACCTGGGGATTTGGCCGTAGAGTAGGCCCTGGAGTAGTGGCCACCCCTCTTTACTGGACACATTCAGTATAAACAAAGAAGACAGTAAGGAGAGTGGTTATTCAGCAGGTCTAAACGTGTACACAAAAAGGGCAAAACAACCCGACCTAGAGAAAGTGGGATAGGTGCTGAAGCAGCAGCAGCAGCAAAGTACAACACCCCCCAAATTCGGTATTTTATAAAAAGGTTGATGCTTCAGACAGTTTTTATTAATACTACTTTCACATATTCTAGATTTACCACATGTAAAATCACAGTTTTTTCACAATCCTTTCCTTAATGGGAAATGATATCAGCAAAATTATAACTACTAGAAGCGAGCCTTACAGAATTAATATATAAAGATTTAGGGGATATTTTAATTCTTTAAAAATGTCAAAAGCTGTCAAAATGATGACAAATCTATAGGCTCAAGATCTGAAAGAAAGTTAGAGGTAATTCTGACTCTGAAATAAGCAGTGCTACTTTCTAACAATAATCGTTGCTCCTATTAAATTGCTCAATGGTGGAAAAGCCTGTGGAAACTTATCAAGTAAATACATTGCTGTTAGGCGTGTAAGTTTATGTTTTAAACCAGTAAGATAAAATATCCACAATCCTATAGCACACAATTAAAAATGCAGCACACAGTGGTCAAAATGTGAAACACTTCTACATAAATACCAGAAGAATCTAGATAAGATTGTTCTTGAGAAAATGTGTCAGAACAAAACCAAGTGTTAGGACACTTATTATAACTTTGAGAAACAGACTTAAACTTCTGGATTTAAAAATCATGTCATGTATATGTCATTCTGGAACCTGGATGCATACAAGGATGGGAACGACTACTAATTCATATTAAAGAAAACTGAAGAATGATCTGTTCCTTTTGTGACTATCCATTTCCTTTCCCTTTACCTGAAGCTGGTGATTTGCTGCGTCGAGAAGGCCCAGGGCTCTTGGATCCAGAATACTTAACAGCTGAGGAGCGAGAATAAGATGACTTCAAGACGCGGCATTCTAGAAAGGAAGGAAAGTGCTTTAAGTCGATCTGGTTTTAATTCTAAGCAAAGGAAGATCACAGATCACATGTTACAGTAGTTTACTGCCTAGAACTATTACCTGATCATCTTTCCCATTAATGTTAAACAACTTTAATATACAGAGCAACTGTCCCAAAAGCACACCTGACGTTACCTTAAATTAGGCTTCACACCTTGTGACTCACCTCATTGTTCCAGACGGAGTTCTTAATAAATACAGAAATCCTGATGTCCTAACTTGATTCACACATACCCACAGCCTAATCTACACATGTGCAACTTATTATTATTATTTTGGTCAGTAGCATTGATAGGCAAAGGCTACAACCAAGAGTTCTCTCCAAGTCTCTGATAACAGTTTGAAAGGGTATAGGACTCTAATTTATGAACCCCTTACTGTCTTATTTTCCATCTGCCCAAAGCATCAAAAATGAGGAAACTAGCTTTAAACAGTAACTTTGGTCTTTCCATAAATTGCCAAATAAATTAGCATGTAAAGGACCAGAACTAATTAAACAGCTTAAATAATCACTTCTAATTTGAACAATTAAGAACCTGGTTTTTGGTTCAGATGCAGATTTGGGATGAATCATGGATTTGACTTTGCTAACTGGTGGACCTTGGTTAGCTCTAAGTCTCAGTTTTTTCCCCTATGAAACTGGGATGAAAATAAATCTGCTTCATAGGCTTCTTATAAGGATTCAATTAGATAACATATTGTAATTCACATTAAAATACTTCAATTTTCGCAGATTAAAATGCGGGTTGGTTTTAATCTATACCCCAGGGGCAATAAATTAACAAGGGAAGTACACTAATCAGGAAAATACACACCAGGGAGGTGAGTTAGCATTTGAAAGACTCTAATCAGAACCTTACTCAGAGGGGGCTGCAGCAATAGCAGCTCAGTTAATTAGCAGCATGGATGTTAGAAAGTACTCCACTGCTGGAAGGAGTGGTGTGTGGGTTAGTGAGAACTTCCTAAAGGCACTGCCACTCCCTTATGAGCAGGATGGGTAAATCTAGAAAGCCCATAACCAGAACTTCAGAACTACCCCCAGGGTAGGAATCTGATCCAGTCCTGCACCCAGCTCATTAACGGAGGGTTTTGTTCTTGACTAAGACCAGCTTAGCTGAATTCTATGGATTCTGAACTGATTTTTAATGTAAGATGTTGTCAGCAGTGTAAAAGGACAGAGCTGGGACTCATCAATATTACAACACAAGGGGGGTTGTGGAAAGATGGCGGAGGAGTAAGACGCGGAGATCACCTTCCTCCCCACAAATACACCAGAAATACATCTACATGTGGAACAGCTCCTACAGAACACCTGAACGCTGGCAAAAGACCTCAGACTTCTCAAAATGCAAGAAACTCCCCACGTACCTGGGTAGGGCACAAGGAAAGAGAAAAAACAGAGACAAAAGAATAGGGACAGGACCTGAACCTCTGGCACTAGGAAGCCCCTTCACTGGAGGAGACGGGGGGAGGTGGGGGGAAGCTTCGGAACTACGGAGGAAAGCGCAGCAACAGGGGCGCGGAGGGCAAAGCAGAGAGATTCCCACACAGCGGATCGGTGCCGACCAGCCCTCACCAGCCCGAGAGGCTCGTCTGCTCACCGGCCGGGGAGGGCGGGGGTGGGAGCTGAGGCTCTGGCTTCGAAGGTCTGATCCCAGGGAGAGGACTGGGGTTGGCTGCGTGAACACAGCGTGAAGGGGGCTAGTGCGCCACAGCTAGCCGGGAGGGAGTCCGGAAAAAGGTCTAGAGCTGCCGAAGAGGAAAGAGACCATTGTTTCGGGGTGCACGAGGAGAGGTGATTCAGAGCACCGCCTAAACGAGCTCCAGAGACAGGCACGAGCCGCGGCTATCAGCACGGACACCAGAGACAGGCACCAGACGCTAAG